TATATCCAAAGTTCCAGAACTATTGGGATTGAGCTGGATGGGTCCCTTGAGGTCAGGTGCTCCTTCTTAACTTGGACAAAAGGAAGACTCCACCTTCACCAAATAGAGAAAAACTTCAGAAGTAAGGTCAAAGCTAGAAGGACACCATTGACAGGGAACTCAAGGTGTCCTTGAGCCACACCAATTCTGTGGCACCCCAGCCCAGGACTCAGAGTGAGGTTGTATCACATAAATAAAATACAAAATGAAATAGACTAGAACAGATTAGAAAAGATTTTGTAATTAAAAAAATCAAAAATAAAAATGAAGAAAATTATAACTAAACTTATATAGATAAAAAGGTATATCTTCATACTTGTATGAGAAATTTATGTGAGAAAGATAAGTAGAAAAATATCTACCAAAATAGAGAAGAATGAGAGAATAAAAATGAAACAAAGAATAAAAGGGACTGAGAAACCACAGCAAAAATTAAACTCTTGCTATTGAAGAACATAAAAATGAAATGCACACAGTAAATAACACACTAAATAAACAAAAAAACTCAAAAAAAATTCACACAGTAAATAACACATTAAATAAAGAGCAAAAAAAACTAAGGATAAAATTGAGAAAGGAAGAAAAAATACCAATAAAGAAAAAGAAAAAATAATAAAAGAAAAAATATATATGTGTGCATGTTTATTGAAATATATTGAACGGACACCAGATGGCACTGTGGTGTTAAGAGACACACACAGTAGTTTGGTTGTGTAAGATGGGACCAAAGCCACTGTCTGGTTGAAGATTATGAGCATTATGATCTTTGAAACCTGCTCCCATTGGCATACAGGGACTAACATAGAGTACAAGAATCATAATAGATCAGTGGTTTTGCACCTGAGATGGAACTTTAGCATTAAACTGATCCAGATTGAATTTCCAGCTGCAATCAACTGTGGGAACTTCACCCTCTTTATGAAGCTCTGACAGAGTCAGTTTTTTCAATGTAAAGTGGGGGGAAACTGCTTACTGTTTATCTAAAGTGAAATGTTACACATAAACCAATCTTTATATCTGATGTACCAAGAGTGATTATTAAGTATACAGACAATATTTTTATTATTGTCACCATAGCCAAAATAAAATCATTATAAACATAAAATGGTGGTAAAAGTATATGAAATCTCTCTTTCCCATACTTGACTGGAGGATAAAGAAAATGAAGATGGTGATTTAATTAAACAAAGGGAGACATCTCTGAAAAAGTCCTTGGCCAATACATGAAAATATTTGGAGAATAGTAGGTCTAATAGAATTTCCCTCTATGATTCTGGAATTATTTCCAAAGTAAGCAAAGACAGAAACTTCATTGCATTTTGTACCACATTACTTGAGTAAATAAAATGGGAAGGCAACTTAATGCCCTAGAATAATTTTAAGGGTCACTTTCCCTCCAAATCCCCCAATTATTTTTGTTGTAAATACTGGTAAGTTTGAAAAAGTAAATATATATATATAAAAGAAAATATCTATACATATGTATTTAAAAATTATATACATTTATTAAATATATGTAAATTGCTGTATATTTTTATGGCATTATAAAATATATATTTCCATATATTTCCTGGACAACAGGTGGTGTTTTCAAGTATGAGATGCTTACTATGACACTGATACAGCTGTGTAAGCTGGAGGCTGGCAGCCACTTTCTTGCCCAGAAGACCTGGTTCTGTCTTTCTGATTTCTTTGTCCTCAATTCTGCAGGGTTGGGAGCCTGAAGCTCTTGTCAGCCTGCTTAATAGAGACACCTTGACCATTCCAAACCATGCTCTCCTTGAGGGGAGGTATATCTTAGTTGTTATATTTTAGAGAAAAGAAAAAGGAAAGGGAGTAAAAGGAAAGATTGACAAAAAGAAGAGAAGAATAGAAGGAGACAGCTCCTTTGCAGCCACATGTGGTGAGATCAAGGAGAAAGGACTCCAGCCACCTCTGGCTGGGAGGTCCTGCCTAGAAACATCACTTCAGGGACACAGGGAGGCAGCAGGAGACTCCAGGAGCTAACAGAGAGGTTGGGAACAGTGGAGAATCAGCACAGAGGGCAAATGCTTGTCTGCTGGCAGAGGCTATACCTTGCCCACAGAGTGGCTTGCTCATGAAAGCCTGTATTGCTCAAGTCTTCCTACAGCTGGCTGCCTAGTACTTGCCTTCTATACTGATATTCCTCAGCTCCTGACCTTCTTGTTGGCTTCTGGAGTCCCCCACTGCTTCACTGTGCCCCTAGAGTGACGTTTCTGGGCAGGATCTCCCAGTGAGAGGTGGCTAGAGTCTTTTCTGCCCTGTCTCACTGCAAGTGGCTGCTAAGGAGATATCTCTAGTCTGCTATCTTGCTCCACCTGTTATATTTTTATATGCTAGCAATGAACAATCCAAAAGTGAAATTTAGAAAATCATCAAAAAGAATAAAGTACTTAAGAATAAGTTTAATAACAATAGTATAAGAGTTGTGTCCTGAAAAATGCAAAATGCCATATAAATAAATTAATGAAGACATAAATAAAGGAAAGATTCTGTTTTAATAGATTGGAGGTTTTAATATTAATCAGATTGCAACATTTCCTAAATTGATTTGCAAATACAATACGTCCTACCAAAATTCCAGCCATCAAGGTTTTTTTTTTTTTTTGGAGAAATTGACATTTTTATTCTTACTTTTTAGCACTCTATATTCTTGCAATTGTTTTAGTCTCTTATGAATGTGTTTTTCATATCAATAAAAGTTCATTTTTGTAGTCAGAAATGATTGTTCTTATTCTGGAAAAATTTACAATTCAGTAATAAAATTCATTATGTATGATTTGGTAATTCAGCACATAATTACTAGAGGTCTATATGTCAGGTAGAAACTGAGTGATGGAAATAATAAGAATAATAAAATTTGATTCTTAAACTGAAAATCTAGAAAGCATTAATGAATTATGGCATGGACTTTGAACTTGGTTTGACATGAGTTTTAATTATCACTCTTAAATTTTACTGATTATGCAACAACCTGTAGATAAAATAAGCAATAAAAGCCAGTTTTTCATGTACAACATGCAGATCAGAATGCAGCAGCTATTCTGCCTGTACACACACAAAGTACGAGAACAGCCAAGAAAAGAGGGACTGTCAAGGCAGTCTTGACAGAGTTCAATGTCCAGTGATCCATCCAGGGTCAGAAATAGCCATGATACTGAAGGATCTTTTAAGTGCCACAGGTCACCATTTGCTCTCTAGCTATCTGATTATTATAGATTACATCACTTGGATTTTGGTAAGTGGTAAAGGGTGATGTCACTTGTGATAATTTATACAATACATTCAAGCAGATATTAAGAAAATCAATTCTTTCACATGCAGAATCCTGATGATAAGCTAATGGCTTCTGCCATTGTTTTATATCTAATACTTCTGATAGATATATTTTATATATCTAATACTTCTGAGTCATGTGCGTGTTTCAACACGTGACTGGGCTGTTCTCAGTTATTTTATTCTGCATGTTTTAGGCTCCATTTCTCTCTGTTTTGCTCCATCAATTATTACATCTCCATCTACTCCCATTCTTCCAGGAATCTGTTGAAATTTTTCATCAACTGATAGAACTCTACTTGCTTTTGTCTTATTGTTTTAGACTTATAAGTTTTTATCATTCAATAAAATTTTAGAAAAAATAGGAGGTAAAAATCTATGTTTAATATAGATTTGTGTCATTACCTTAAACTGTTCCGACATGGGGGTATTGCCACTCCTTAAATATAACTTTTCAGTTTGGAATTCATGTGCACAATTCATGTTTCACTTCAATTTGATGCTAGTATTATAAAGCATTTGAAAGGATAAATAGCTTTAAGGTAATTTTAAAAGTATTATCTAGATATGTATGATGCATTTTGAGATGAGGATAAAAGAGGGTTGTTTTCAATCACTTTCATAATAAAATCCTTCCTGTTCCTTGTTCCCCTTAGCAAGCTCCTATTCCATGTTAGAGGAGATGCTGTGTAGTCTCAGAATTGTACCAGAAAATACATTCTTGAGGCTTGGCGCCTCTGGCTCAAGCAGCTAAGGCACCAGCCACATACACCTGAGCTGGTGGGTTGGAATTCAGCCCGGGCCCGCCAAACAACAATGACGGCTGCAACCAAAAAATAGCCGGG